TTGTATTTAACTTTATTTATTTATTTATTTATTTAAATTTGACCAGAGAGGGACAGGATGTGAGAGAGCAAGAGAGAAAGTGAGAAAGTAAGCCACCAGGTCCAGGACTCAAACCATAGTCGGCCATGTGGGAGTCCAGTGCCCTTAGCCACCACACCAACTTGTGGCCTGGTAATGGGCATGATTAAGTAGAGGAAAAATCTGAAGTATTAGGAGAGGCAAGGAAGAATTGCTGCACTTACACCAGGTGGGGTGAGAGGGGAGGGGAAGGGGCTGGCCCTAGGTAGGAGCTAAGGCAGCTATTCTCTCCAGGGGCACCACAGGGACAGGGACTGCAGAGCAGGAGGGCACAGATGATGGTAAGGAGTACTTGCGGGGAAGGAAATTAATTATCTAGCAGGATAATAAATGAGTTAGTTCTTCCATTTTCCAAATGTTCCAATATGTATTATTACATGGTTTCACAAGATATTAAAAGAAACAATTCCTTCTGCTAGAAGGCTTGTGTGAGTAATGCAGTGAAGGAAGTTCCGAGGCTTACGCTATACGCCTACTCTGGGTCAGAAGCGACCTCTAGTGGTTCACTGAGACCATTCATTGTTTTTCTTGTTTTCTTGCTCTTGAACGTACAAGAGTACGTTCTGTCCAAACTTGCAGTGTCCACGTTGTATATTATTTTTTAAAGAATTATTTTATTGAACTTTATTTATTTTTATTTACTTATTTATTTATTTATTTACTTACTTACTTTCTTATTTATTTTTTGAAGAGGTTTTTGCTATAGGGCATGTGCTCTTGCCAGGAAGACAGAGAGAGACAGAGAGACAGAAAGCAAGAAATCACCCCCCAGAGGGGATGGCCATGCCGCAATCCTTTCTCCTCCATTCTCCTCTCGGGATTTTGGGCATGCACGCACACCCGCCAGGTGTGAGTTTAAGCCACTGGGTCCAGGATTCAAACTGCGGTCAACTACATGGGAGTTCAGCGACTAGCCATTATACTAACTGCTGGTTCCTTATTTTTTCAATTTGACCAGAGAGGGACAGAGTGAGAGAGGGAGAGAGCGGGGGGGAGAGGGGGGAGTGAGAAAGCTGCCACGTCAGAAACTCAAACCATTCGGCCTTGTGGGAGGTCCAGCACCCTTAACCACCACACCACCTGCCGGCTCCCATATTTTATATTATTTTTAAGGAATCACTTACGATTCACAGTTTAATTTAGGAAAAAGATCAGACATTTGAGGGAAATAAGCCCAGACCATCTGCAGTCCAAGCTGGAGTTACCATAATTATCATCACTATGACTTTCCCCTCTAAGTACATCACTCTCAGCTGTACCGCCAATATTTATGTTCCTCTTGCTTCCAGACGAGCGATTTTATTAAAGGACAACTGGCAAGCCATTGCTGATCCACGGCTGAACAATATTCTCCATGCTCACGTAGAGTGCGAGCTCCTTTTGTCACGACTGGCTTCACTTGAGATTTTGTCATCACTGGGTTTCCTCTGCCTGGGATGTCCCCTTATCCCACATTAGCTAATCCATTTACTCCCAGGGACTTTTCCAGAGCTTCACGGTGATCTCAGGTCTCCACTATTACTCAGTCTCACAACACCGTGAGCTTCTTTCTGCCTCATGCAGTTTCCCCCAACTGTAATGAAATATCAATTCTGCTATTATTGTTTAATGTCTGTTCCTTCTGGTAAATCATGAGACCCATAAAGGCAGAGACTGTCTGGCTTGTTCACCACTGTCTCCTTAGCACTTAGCTCAGTGCTCAGCACATAAATGGTACTCAATAAACATTTATTGAATGAACAGACACTATCCTGCAGGATAGTGCTACTCCTATGAACACCTTTTGGATTCCACAGCAGAGAAGATTGCAATTCAGAAATGGATTTTTATTTCTAGAACATAACTTACAATTGCTTTGGGTACACCTGTGATCAATGCAACAGTTTGTTACAAAAGTGTTCCAGCTGTTATCTCAATAGTACAAGCCTTAGGATGGAATGTTGTCTCTAGCTCTCAAACCAAGTGACTCTGTGCAGAAAAGGCAGAATCTTTAGATATGATCCAGACCTTATCAGACAATTTGTCCCACGGTCCGAACTGAGACAAGAAGATGCCAATGCAGAGGGATGCGTAATGTGACCGTTTCACAATGTGCTGTCATACCCATAACCCTAACGCATATAATGCCACTTATTCCCAGCTTCAGTAACTTCCGGTGTCTACAGGTTTACCCACTGAGATGGCTACATCGCGGTGATCATCCAACTGAGGCTTTTCATCCAGGCTAGTTTCATCTTTGGAGGCATTCCAAGTGCTTTCATTAACTACCAGAGACCAAAAACAGTGGGATGGCTGGTTGTAAAATATCACACCAGCCTATATTCCCTGGATCACAAGTATGGAATTGAGTGGGGACAGAGTAAAATGCTGAGCAGGAAGTACAGCCTGTCTCGAAGTCTATCCACAGTCTGTTATTATCTGTTCTCAACCCCTCACCCTAAATATTGGGTTAAGGGAAAAATCATGACATATTTTTGCATAGAAAAGCAGAAAAATATGTCATGACTTTTCCGGCAACTTAATAGCTGAACCTCTTGGTGGTGGTGTTTTTTTAAGAATTATTTTAAATTTTATAAAATTTAACTTCATTTATTTCTTCATTTCTATTGGACCAGAGGGAGTGGGGAGAGAAATAGAGAGAGAGAAAATGAGAAAGTAAGCTGCCAAGTCCAGGACTCAAACTGTGGTCAGCCACGTGGGAGTCCAGCACCCTTAACCACCACACTACCTGCTGGCTCCACGGCTGTCATTTTAATATCCTTTCGATAATGAGCCATGAAAGAGATTCTCTTCTATTGCTTGTCCAAAGGTCATAGGGTTTTCCTAAAACCACAACTTTAATGTTATTTTTTATGGAGATGTAGATGATAAAGTCCACTCAATAAGAATTGATTTCAAATGACTTCAGGATTAAATAACATAATTAATACAAGCATGCATGTGCAAACTTGTGGCATTTCCTTCTTTTTTTTTTTTTTTTTTTTTAAAAGTTTAGGACACGTGCACTCACCAGAAAGAGAGAGAGAGACAGAGGGACAGAAAGCGAGAAATCACCCCCTCAGGGGGGATGGCCACGCCACAATCCCTTCTCCTCCATTCTCCTCTCAGGATCTTGGGCACACACGCACACGTGCCCAGCGTGAGTTTAAGCCACCAGACGGGACTTGAACCGCAGTTGACTACATGGGAGTCCAGCGACATGGCCATTACATCAACTGCTAGTGCCGTGGCATTTCCTTTTTAATTTGCTGTTCCTTTGTCTTGAGCAGCTCTTTGGATGGCCCTTGTCATCCTTCAGATCTAAGTTTAAATATCACTTGCTCAGAGAGACCCTGACCACCTAATCTGATTAATCCCCTGTCTCCTTAGTCTCTCTCAGATATCTGGTTATTTTCCTTTGTCCCATTTATCACAAGTCTTCACGCATATTGTGCTTATAACTTAATACTGTCTATTCCACTCAAATGCAAGATTCCCAGGGCCAGCATTTGGCATGGTGGTTAAGGTGCTAGACTCCCACATGGCTGACTGCAGTTTGAGTTCTGGACCCAGAAACTTGCAAATCATGGCAGGCCCGTGTGCGGGTGTTCCTAAAATCCTGAGAGGATGGAGAAGGGATTGTGGCCATCTCCCCTGGGATGATTTCTCACTTTCCCTGTCTTTGCCTTTCTCCAGGAAGCACATTTTTACACATGGTAAAAACAAAACAAAACTCTAAAAAATAGATGCCCAAAGCAGGACCTTGCCTGTTTTGTCCACTTAAGTATTCCTGGACAGGAATTCCTTTTCGTAAACCGGACAACTTGAGGTCTGGCAGGACTGCAGCCATTTTGAAATTAAGAAAGGCCTCTGATGAGAACAATCTAAACAAGTGCTGAGTCATGGAGGTCTGTTTGAGGAATATCAAATGAGAAACCATGAATGGGCATGTGAAGAAAACTGGGCATCTGGATAACTGCTCAAAGGACAGCAACTGACTTTGATTGACTATAGCAGGGAATGATTGGCATGAGCTGGAATCTATAAATACTGAGCACATGCTGAGCTTTTTGTGAGAGTTTGGTGGTGCTTGTTGACTGTCTCTCTGTAACCCAGTTGTGGAAATAAACTCCCTTCTCTGACATCATCCTCATTTCATTGACCAAGGATAGAAGTAGTTCGATTTTGCCAGAAACACAATGCCTGACATGCAGTAAGTGTTCCATAAGTACATGGAACAAATTGAATATTTTTCTTTCTTTTTTTTCTCTCTACTTGTTCCTTTTACTGCATTTCAGTTCCTAATACTACACTGTTGGGCTGGCAGGTGGCAGTGGTTAAGGGTTCTGGATTACCACATGGCTGACAGAAGTTTGAGTTCTGGACCAAGGGGCTTGCTTTTTCACTTTCCTTCTCTCTCTCACTCTGTCCCTCTCTGGTCAAATTTAAATAAAGAAATAAAGTTAAATAACATGATTCTTTTAAATAATTACTGCACTGTAACCCCACAGAATAAGAGAAAAATCAGAATGTTCATTCCCTCCACCACTGAGTACTGAAATTGCAATTCTTCGCGTTTGTTGAGAAGCTACTGGCTTCTCCTGGGAGGCCAAGAACGCAGAGATACACCATAATTCTATAAAGAGAGCTGTCAAAAATGCAAAGTTATGCTCATTGGGTTCTTGGGCGCTAGAAATGGCAAACTACTGCATTACAATTAAGTGACAACTAACAGAATGTTGAAGTTTTTTTTTTAAATTTGCATAACGAACCAAGGCATCCTACGCCACCTCTCTGAAATGAAATTCAGATGTGGGCATTCTTTCTGGCACTCCAGGAAGCTGAGCTCTTGCAGCAGCCAGTCAGCCCAGTGGGGGGCGACAGCATGCCAGTAACACACTCCCTGAAGACATGTAGGTGGAAGAGACAGAAGCGCGTTCAAAACATTTTTGACTCTACCCGCTCTCCGTAGCGCCTTAGCCCGCTCGAGTTTCAATGCGCGGTGTTGCTTGACGAAGCTGAGTCCTATACACCGCCCGCTGCTCTCCTGATCATGGCTTCCTCGAGTTCCTTCACCTACTATTGCCCTCCATCTTCCTCCCCTGTCTGGTCAGAGCCACTGTACAGTTTGAGGCCAGAGCACGCGCGGGAGCGGTTGCAGGACGACTCGGTGGAAACAGTCACGTCCATAGAACAGGTGAGGTGGCAGGACTGGGCGAGGCGCCCGCGCGGGGGCTTCTGGGGGTCGGAGTCCTTTCTGCAGGGCCGCCGGGTGCGGAGCTCACCCGGGAACTACGACTCCCACAGTGCACCGTGGCGCCTCCCGGCTGAAAGCTCTGGGCGCCCTGGCTGGGGCTTCGGAGTGGAGCGTGTGTGCGGCCAGGTTGGGCAGGGGTCGTTGTCTTGGCGGACAGGCCAGTCTCCAGGTCCCCCGCGCCTTAGAGAGCGGAGAGCGCCGTGTTCTGTGCCTGGAGGACTGTAGCTGCCGCGCGATCAGACAGCCGTCTCCATTCTGCCAGGACATCGGGAGGTTCTGGGATAGACAGTGCACTTTCCCCAACCTGCTTGCAGTTTCGGGACAGAGAGGAGAGAAGGGCCAGATCGCGGCCATGCGGTCTCACAGGCTGTTTAATTTCCGATCTACAGTGTCAGGTTTGGGGCACCTCCCAGTCTCGTGGATGAATATCTCCGGGTTATCCAGTCATTGAGCGGCACCTGTGTGTTGGTCACATTCCTAAACTCCGGAAACACAAATAAAACAGCATCTAACCAGGAGCCTGGTTGGGGAAGACAGGCAGGACAACGATACAGTTTGGAAAGTGTCATTATGAAAGTACGAGTATTAGGCCACTTGTCATTCACTAAGGCCTAGAAGTAGCTTGAACCTGTCATTTTGGAAAGCATTAGGGGAATGAGTAGTGAACTGTAGTGGTTTTTTTTTTTTCTCATTCATCTCTTGGAATTGTTCCTGTTAGTTACCGTAGAACTGTTTACCCATCTGTCACTAGGAAAAGCGATCAGGCTGATTCTTTTGAGCTCTAACAAAGAAGCACCCGGCTGCTTACTAAAATAAAATCTCTTAGTAAGATTGATTGCAGGCTTATCGTCGGAGGGACCTGTTTTGTCTTTCATACCGGAAGAGGGAAGCTTCTATTTAGGCAGAATTAATAACATAATGAATGTATCATGCAGTTGTAACACAAACAAGGATTGAATTCATGGTTATATACATAGTAGCAGAGAGAATATTTTAACTGGAGACTTATACTCTGTGCATTAGTAGCAGAAAACCCTTTTCCTTTCAGATCTAGTTCCCCAGGCTAGTTAACCCAACAGACTGTCCTACAGAAAACTCTTTTGTAGAAGATGGCAAAGAAATCTTCCATTGATGAAAAACCTGCAGGATCTTTGTAGCATTCCTAAGTGATGAATTGTCGAGTTGATGCAAGTCAGGCCTTTTTATCAGACCTAGGACTATGGCTCACTTCTTATGTAGTTAACTGAATTGACCCTGCAGATGAGGATGCGGCTAGGACAGTAAGCGGAGAAAAGGGAATCAAGTCAGAAGCTGATCTGTTGATTTAGAGACCAGGACAGAGAACTTCTGTGTTGAGAGAGGCAAGCCAAAAACAGGAACATTATCTAGAGCTTTTCTGATCTACTCTTTTTCTATTTTGTATAATTCTTTTAAAAAATTGCTTTTCCAGTAAGGTGCTGAAGTTCCGCTTGCTTCCTTAGGTCATACCAAGAAAACATCAACACTTACTTGTGTTTTAAGTGCCTGCATATAATGAGTTTTGCAAAACTAGATACATCTCAATCATCTGCAATGGATACATTTCTCATCTGAAAAAGAATAGGCTAAAGCCAAGGCCAGGGACAGGAGTGGATACTAGATTTTGATATGGAACATTGGTATTACAGAGCATCTTTCAAACCTAGGTCCAATGGTTTGGTAGCTAGTAGATAGAGCATCTTGTATTTCTTTTCCATGTCATCATTCCAGCTCACATTATAAAGGTCTAGGATGAACAGTTCCAGATAGTGAGAGACAATGTGGTATCTCATTGTTGTGGCTTCCTCTGTGTTTTAATAATCATCACAGTGACCATTATTTGATCCCAGTGCTGTGCTAAATGCTCGCTATACATCGTATCATTTAGTCCTAGGTACAAAGACTGAAATGAGATTCATCAAAAATAACAACCTAGCTAGGAGTAATTGTTTACAGAGGAGCTTACCGTTATTCTTTTGAGCTTCATGGATTTGCAGAGATTAACTGAAGCTCAATTTGGTGCATTGTCAATAAAAATAAATGCTTATCATCTGCTTCCTATCTGATTAGAAAGAGACTTTAGTAAACAGTAATTTGATAATAAGAGTTAAGCCTAAAAACAATGGAAAGGCATGGGTCCTTCTCTTTCATTCACTTATTTTCTTTTTCAATATTATTATTATTTTTACCTTGCCAGAGGTTATGTGCTGGCTAGAGAGAGAGAGAGTGAGAGACAAAGACAAAGCACCCTTGCCCCCCGCTGTTGGGGTATCATCATGCCTCAATCCCTCCTCCATGTCTCCATCCTGACAGAATTTGAGGCATGCATACATACATACTTGTGCGTGCGCACACATGCACGCCTGGTATGTTTTTCAAGCTGCTGGGGCCAGAATTTGAACCACGCAGTTGGCCATGCAGAATCTGGCTCCCTTAATCACTAGGCCACAGGGCTGACCCCGTTCATTTAACAAATACTTGAATGCCTTCTGTGCCAAGCACTCAATGTAAGTCATTGACCAAAAGAGGCCATGTTGATGTCTTTATGAAACTTTTATTCTAGACCAGGGAGGGAGCCAGTTAAAAAAAGAAAAAATGCCTGTACCTATTTACATATGAAATGTTAGAGAGAAATACTGTGGAGAAAAATAAAGCAGGATCAAGGGATACAGTGTCAGGAATGGGTGGGGTGGGAGTTAAGGTTATCTAAGGTGAAAAGGGGAAACCTCTGGTGATGTCCCGTTTGAGCGAGGGAGCCAGCTGTGTGTGAGTCTGGTGGAAGAGCCTCCTGGGCAGAGAAGGCAAGTCCAGAGGGCGTGAGGCAGGTGTCTGCCTGGTGAGTAGGGAGGTTAGCAGACAGAGGAGGAGAGCTCAGATCATGTAGGGCCTGCAGGCCATTGCAAGTGCTTTACAATACCCCATTGAGGTGGGAAGCCAGGTGGCTGTAGATGTGGACTTGCACGGACAGGTTCCCTTGCCTTCTGGCTGTTGGTCTTATTTGTCCTCAGGAACTACTGCTGGGAGGAGAGAGAGAGAACAATGAGATGGGCAGATTTATTCTTTCCTGTGGGCTCGTGTGGGCTGGAGTTTCTCTAGACTTACAGTCACATCTCCTGTCCAGGGTCCTCTCCAAGGCGCTCTCTATCTCCCTCTCCACTCCTCTTCACACCTCCATGTCTAGGAGGGGATCCAGGCCAGTGCCTCTGAGTTAGCTCCAGATCCTGCACGATCCCTTGTGGTTTCCCTACCCCTGCCCACCGCTTTGTAAATAGTTCCTTTCTAAAACTCTCCTCAAGTCACCCACTTTGTGCCATCTGCTTCCTGCCAGGATTCAGACTGATCCATGATCAGAGGGTTTGGAGCAGGAGGGTGGCACAATCTGACTAGCATTTTAACTGGCTCATTTGGGTTATTGTCAAGAGAAGATTATGGGGCGGCGTGGGCAGATGCAGGGAAACCAGTTAGGAGGCTATTGCCCTGTCCCAGCTACATCCCTCAGAGATGATGGCCGCTTAGCCAGAATCACAGCAGTGGAGAAGTGGCCAGCTTCAGGGTAGTTTTTGAAGGCCGGTACCTAGACAAGTTTCTTTGCTGTTGGATGTGATGCAAGGAGGGCCTTGTATGACTCGGGAAAGCAAGATGTGACTGTGCCCTTCCTGCCTGCCTGCCTTATTGTGGACTCACCCCGTTGCAAACACTGTGATTCAGGCCTGTGGGTTCATAGCGTGGTGTCACAGGTAGCAGCTTTGCCCAGCAGAGTTGTCTACAAAGGGTGCTGCTCCTGGTTTTCTTTGACTTTGTCCTTGAATGCGGCAGGAGCCTCCTTCACTTGATACAGCATGTCATTAGACAGCGTTCAATCAAGTGACAACTTGGAGGGGAGTGTAGAAGAGGTGTTAGTCTTGGTCCTTGCCTTCAGAATTCTTCTTCTTTTTCTTTCTTTCTTTTTTTTTTTTTTGGTAGAGATTTTTGCCTAGGGCACACCTAATCTCTGGAGAGGAGAGATTCAGACAGTGAGAGGGAGAGTGAGAAATCACCCCACAGGAAAATAGCCACACCACGATCTCCTCTTCTTCATTCTTCTCCCGGGATCTTGGGCATGCACTCACATGTGCCTGGCATGAGTTTCAAGCCACCAGGCCCAGGACTCAAACCATGGTTGGTCACGTGAGAATCCAACAATGTAATTGCTATTGCATCTGCTGGCCCCAACCATCAAAATTCTTTTCTCTTAGGGGGTTAAAAAGACTATGGCAATGCAGTCCCAGAATGCTACATTATGACCGTGTTGTAGGAAGATGTCAGGGAGTGGAAGAGCTACCAGCGTGGGCTAGAGCAGTCAGGATGACATCTTGGAGACTGGAGACCTGGAGTTGGGCTATGAAAATGGCACTGGGGACAGCTGTTCCTGGAGAAGCTGTTGTGAGGGAAGACTGCGACTTGACTGAGGAGTGGGTTTACTAGGAATGGAGGGTGCAGGTTGGATGTGGCAGGGCATTAGGTAAGCTGGGGTGGGAGGAGCTGTGGCCCTGTCAGGGTATTGAAAGCCAGGTTAGGGCCCTAGTTTCAGCACTTTGGGCAGTGGGCCACCAGATTTTGAAGGAAGGACCAGCTTCCTGCTGGTGACTTATTTCAAGTTACAGGGACCTAAAGATTAGTAAATGGGGGACCAGCAGATGGCATAATGGTTACGTTGCTGGACTCCCACGTAATCAACCACGGTTTGAGACCTGGACCCAGCAATTTGAAACTCACACAGGGTCCATATGTGTGCATGCCCAAGATCCTGAGAAGGGACTGTGGTGTGGCCATCCACCCTGGGGAGGTGATTTCTCACTTTCTGGTTCTCTTTCTCTCCAGAAGTGCATGCATCCTATAGCAAAAATCTCTCTTAAAAACAAAAAAATTAGTAAATGGAAGTA